GCAGCACATTGGGCACGGCACCGCACTCTGTTGTCGCGCCGTAGACATCTTGGTTGTAGCAGGCATTGGAAAACTGCTAGATGTCATGCTGAGAAGGAAGCTCGACTTGTGAGATGCGGTGAGCCTGCTTGCGGCTTCGGGGGAGAGGCGCTGTGCCCTCCCCAAAGCAGCGCTCGCATCAGCTCTTGCATACGGCGACGGAAAGAAGCTGTCGCAGAAAACACCGGTCAAACAAGCTGTCGCAGAAAACACCGGTCAACCGTTGCAAAAAACACCGGGCAACCGTCGCAAAAAACACCGGGTGGCGGTCACTGACGCAAAAAACACCGGTCACAGCTTGGAAAAACACCATACAACATAACTGTCTGGAAATACCCTGATTACTGTTGCAATTTACCCTAGTCCCCGGTCGCTGAAGGACTCGAGTCCAGCTGCTACCGATGCCAAAAGAATCAGCTCAGGGTGCCGCAGTGACTGAGATCCCAGTGACCCCTCCTCGAGTTTTTTGGGGCATCCCCTCCCCGATCAGGCACCCTGGTGGTGCCTCGCACCAAGCGGAGGGAAGTCTCTTCTTTTCAAACAGGAGATCTCCGACTCCTCTGAGTCTGGTCATGAATATTTGAAGTCAAGACCGTCCCATCAAAGTTAGTCTGAGAAGGACATAGTTTTTACATCCACAGCTGTTCATGGCCAAGTGAGGCTTCTGTGCTCTTGCGGATTCTCATGAGGACATGAGGATATGGACCTATCCGGTGAGGAATGTGCCACAATGCGACTCGTTGAGAGACTTGTTGTATCTTTTTTTGTCAGATACTTCTCTTCAGACCCGTTGGCATTTCTTTTGGCTGGACGGCTGAGTGGTAGAACCAAAATTTGGGGCTCTTTAGCTCTTTGAGCCTGAAGTTACCAAGCCAGGCAACATCAATGCCATCCAAATCAGCTCTGAGGAACGACCAAACAAAGTCACTGGCAAACACTTGGATTCGTCGTGATTTGTTCCTCTTTCCGAACCATGTGGGACCCATGAACGCGGCGTTTCACCTCCAGCTCTCGGCACCTCACAGCGGGTGCGATTCTCACTTCACTGGGAGCCCCCTGCAGAAGTCGCGTCAAGTGCATGGTGCCTGGAGCTGTGGCTTCGCTTCGGTCTTGGACCGGCCAAAAATGCACACCACATGGTCGCTCTGGGGATGAGAAAAAGGAACGCATCAAAAATGACTGAAACTTGGGTGGCCGAGGCTGCAAACGCTCAGTCTCTTTGTTTGGGCGATGCGACCGGAGTCCGCACTGGCAAAGAAGCAATGTCATGAATGCGATGCGGATGGATGAGATGGACAAAGTTGCTCTTTTGGGCCTGACTCCAGAATTCCATGATGTTCGCTGTGACATGCTTCGATCAAACGCTGGGTTTTCTAGGCTTCGAAGAGTCGGGATTCCAGACGAACCGTTGTGATGAGCTGTGTCTTCAAGCGTTTTTCTTTTTGATCTGGAAACCAAATGAATAGCGTGAGCAATCCTTCGTCCTAGCTAGTATGAATCAGGTTACCTATAGCAGTGTCCAGCCCTCACTTAATTTAGCAGGCGGCTACTTACTTGAGTCATTGAGTAAGGGCAAAAGAAGAGAGAAGCAAGAGACATGCTGTGCATCTTTTAGGTGGACAGTTTGCCAAAAACGTCCCTCGCGAAGGCTCTGTGGGTGGTTTGAGGTGAAAAAGGCCTGGAGTCTGGATCACGTGTGATAAGCCCTCAAATGCCCTCAAGAACTGAAACACCGAAGTCGTAACCCAAAGGAGCTTTGCTAAAACACACAAAAAAAAGAAAAACACACATTTTGTCATTGTTTTCTGTTGTGCCACGGATCTTCAGGGGATCCATTTCATGGAACAAACACAATGGAGACCTTCATGATGCAACATGATGCAACACCCGCTGTGAAGACTGGCCACCTTGGGTGAAAAGCCAGGGTTTAGGGGTTCAACAGGGGAATTCTCAATGAAACAAATGAAAACAAGTTCGGACCCAGGTCCATCGTTTTTTTCGGGCCCAGGTCCAGGCTTTGCACCGTATTTCCTGGGAAAACCTTCACGCTGGTCCAAAGCGTCCAAAGCGTCCAGCCTTGGCTGTGACCTGCGATGAAGAACGGCCGGCCCTGGGTGTCTTTGTGCTCGACGAAGTGGAGAAAGGCACGGCGAATGTCCTCGTAGGCCACCTCCATGGCCTATAGGTTGGAGGCAAACGCTAGGTTGGAGCCCATTGCTCTTAGGTTGGAGGCCATCGCTAGTGGAGGAAGGCACAGCGAAGCCGCATCCATTCCCTACGAGGACTGGAGGACGCCTGCACGGGAGTACGGCTCCGGGGTGAGGATTGGAGTTCACTCCATTGCTCCGCAAGTGATAGGCCCGCATCTCACATCACAAAAGCTCGAAGAAAGGACTCATGTTTAAAGCTTTTTCTTTTGTCCTGGTTGACTTCCTGTTTCCCAAATCTGCGATGTTATTTTCACTTGAGTCTGTTAGCTACTAGGTGGAGGCCATCGCTAGGGTGGAGGCCATCGCTACTAGGGTGGAGGCCATCCCTACTAGGAGCAAGGACGCTACTAGTAACAAGGGCATTACTAGTAACAAGAAGCTACTAGTAGCAAAGGGCATCGCTACTAGGAGCAAGGACGCTACTAGTAGCTCCTGGCCTTACTACTAGCAGCAAGAAGCTACTAGTAACAAGTAACAAGGTTGTCCAGTTTCCCCAAATCCACCATTTTGTGGAGGCACCTTTCGGAGTGGCTTCCACCGAGCGAAGGGCGACGGCGGCATCAGCACCGCCACCGCCATCACGTTCACCTCGCGTCTTCCGGGAGATGAGAGCGAAGCGGCACAGGAGTGTGGGGAGCGTTCGATACCTGTCTTAAAGTGTCCCGAAATCTTCTTGTTTCAGTAGATATATATATATATGGTAAGTTGCTTTTGACCCGATGCTTATTCTGTATATATAGCTACTATAGTAGGATTGACTGTTTGCAATGGTTCTCGTCAAACAGTATTGACTGCTATACTTGGCCTATGTCGAACAGCGGAAACTCGACATTCTCCCACTTCAAATCATCCTGGCAACTTTGTAGTGCTAGATGCGTCCAGCATGTACTTCCTCGTGAGTCTTGTCTATGCCACACTGAACTGAATACACAGAAGCATATAATCTTCTGTTTAGATTTTTAATACAAGCTTCTGAGCCCATTTAGATAGTTCCATGAAAGAATATCCACGAATTGGATTGTATTTGTCGTTGGTGAGCTTGATTTTGGGTCAACCTGTTTTACGGCAAATCCACCTTCAACTGAACTCCACTCTGTTCGTCTGAATTTCTATGTCAGCCATTTGCGACAAGACATTCGTTGATATCTTCCACTCCATATTGAGTGGCTAGTCTCTTCATTGGTCCTCTTGCTCTTGAAGGTCTCGATGATGTTGATGATCTCATGCTTCTTGAGACAGTCTTTCAGTCATTGCTCTTGGTACTTGAACTACTGTAATGCATAGTTCTTGAAGGTAGGTTGTTCGTAGGTGATGGCGTTGATCTTAACATAGGATTGGTACAGTATCCGTTTGTTGACGTTCAGTTGCCCTTGTCACTGAGAGGCTTGCCCCTCAAAGTTGCACGTCTCATCTATCTTGGGCTCTTGGATTGCTCGTCCATTCTTGGGAGGTTTCAATCCAAAGCCAATTATATATATATAGCTCTGAATGTTAATGTTCAACGAAATTCCCTACTCACTTAAGAAGGTTGCATTTCTTCAAAATAAATTTGGGTAGGGGTTTGGGGACTTGGGCTGAACATTAACATATTTAGCTTCTCGATGAACTGGTGATGTTATTGAGAGAGTCCGGACGAGGAAGCAAAGAAGTCGGTGAGGATGAAGCACCACATGGACGACAGAAAGACATGATTTTTGAACTTAGACTGCAATGATTGGTACTCAAGCGCCAGGGCTTTGGCCAAACAATTGATTTTCAAGAAACACATCAACAACCGCAAGCACCCAACGACCACACATCAATCGCTCTTAGGTTGGAGGCCATCGTGTGCCTGTCGGTAGCGCGGTGCATAGACCCGACACAGGCGGTTGAAGGGCGCGGCGCCCGCGGCCACGCGGAGGTCGGTCTGCCGGCGCCGAGGTCGTTGGAGATGGGCTTAGACGTGATGGACCTCTGACCTTTAATGTAATTAATATCAATTATTGTATTTATATCATATACTCTTGTGTGCCACACGTCATATGGATTAGCCCTTTACTACCTCTTTTCCTCCCAAATCTAAGGACCAAAATCATTTAAGCATGATCCGTCCGAGCAGCCCACTAGGAAAGCTGAGCAAGACCCGCTCCGCGATGCTCTGCCTGCTCGTTGATCTTGGCGACCAAGTCCCAGGGCTCCCGGAGCGGGGCGTTCCAACCTCCGCGGTGCCGTTCTGCTGGTGACAGCGACGCGTGCGGGGCGGGGCAAGCCGTTTCGGGCTCTCAAAAGCAGAGGAACGAGAATTCTTTTGTTTTCGATACCGAGCTTGTGCGCTTGGATATGCTTGGACCATTCATCTTTCAACTGACATCCCTAGTACTTAGTAGGTTGGAGGCCAGTACCTACGTAGGTTCAGTCTGTTGAGAGGTCATGATTACGTAGGGGCCGGCCGACGAATGACAGGCGACCAATGGTGACCAATCCTTTCCCTTTTGCCTTTAGACCTTACGTAGTTAAGCAGGCACCTACTTAAGAAATCGGTTTTAGTCATGGACACATATTTTTGCGTTCCATAATTATATTGTTATATAATATAGAGAGTATATAGAGATTATAGAATATTATAACCTATTAAAAAAACGTATAATTTCTTATCTTTTTTCACCTTCCTCCAAGAAGTCACTCATGCCGCATGCCGCCAAACACCACCAATTCCTCGCGGATCCCACCACAAATCTGTGCCCAAGGTCGTTGAGTTTGGAAGGGCTGGCAGACCGCCGGGACGAAGGTGGTGTCCTGAGCAAAAACATACAACAATCTCGGCTTTCTGAAACATGTAGCAGCAGCTTTATAATGCTTTATAAGAACTGAAATGAGTTACACGTGATGGGGTGGCTGAAGGCAACACACAGCATGTTATGGTTGTGCATGGGCCGAAACAAACAAGAACAGAGGCGAACCCGCCAAGAATCCTCAGCAACAGAAAACAAGTTCTATCTCAATCCAAGTCACGTGTACGAAGAAACAATCCTGAGTACGCGACAAAGTCTGAAGTCCAGTGCTTCATTCATTGTGTTCACATTCAACGTTCAGAACAACAGAACGTTCTGCACAAAGAACAAACGCATCCCGGTGCGACCCAGTCACTTGAAGAGATGGTCAATCGTTCGCAAACAGTTCATGTGACAGGTGAGTAGTACTCTTGTTACGTGCCAACAAGTGCCAACAAAAGGCCAAATCAACCCTTCTTGGAGAGGACGGACGGTGCCGGTAGCGCCGCATCTGAGGTACTTAGACCAAATCTGTTCTTCTTCATTCGAGTCCCTTGAACCTGCTTGGCCGGAAGCTCCCAGTGGGAGAAAGGCCATCTCCAAACATCCAAATTCGTTCCCTCCAGCCCCTCCCAGCGTCTTCACCCCAAGAGGCGCAAAATGAGATACTCTCCCGACTTTAGGTTGGAGGCCATCGCTCGTAGGTTGGAGGCCATGGCTTTTAGGTGGGAGGCCATTGCTATTAGAAACATCGATTTGCACGGAAATTTTTGAGACATGCCTCAGGATATTGAAATGCTTTGCGGCTGAAGCAGTTTTAGAGGTCATGCAGGGCCAAGACTTCACGACCCGCAGTTGGGGTCGAATTCTCGACTCCTCATCAGGTTGGGGTCTTCAAAGATTCTGGAGTGTACGGGTGGGCGAGAGCTTGCGCTTGCCCCATGTAGCTGGAGAAGGTCCAAAACAGGTCCAGTTCTTTGTTTGTTCTTGGGCACCCCTAAAGTCGGGATTCACAGTGCAGGTGTTTAACATGCTGAACAGAATCCTACCCCTCGATGGCCTCCGACCTACTAGCGATGGCCTCCAACCTGCTAGCGATGGCCTCCAACCTGCTAGCGATGGCCTCCAACCTGCTAGCGATGGCCTCCAACCTAAGAGCGACGGCCTCCAACCTACGAGCGATGGCCTCCAACCTAAGGGCGATGGCCTTATAAACTCTTATGCCCACTTTGCGGACAGGTCTCACAAGGTCTCATCTCTGGGAGCATGACGGGCTCATCCGAGAACTGCGCACGGGAGAGGCTTCCGCGTCGGCGCGGATTCCGTTCGCGAACGGCTTGAAGCCGTGCAGCACCGTGTAAATTGACAGGTGGTTTGGGAGTTGCAACGGCAATATCCAGCGTACATTTTTGGGAGGTCTTCATTCTCCTGACTGGTGTGGCGAGTGCATGGAATGAGGGTGGCTGGTTCCGTATCTAGTGATGAGGGGTCAGTCCCTCATTCACTACTATGCCCGTCAGTCAGTATCATGCAATGCACAGGAATGTACAATGTTCAATCGTTGGCGCGAATCATGCTTGGGCATTTTCAGGATCATCTACTAATAACAAGAAGCTAGTAGAAACAAGTGCCTCGCTACTAGTAACAAGGGCCCTACTACTAGTGACAAGAAGCTAGTAGAAACAAGTGCATCGCTACTAGTACCAAGTGCCTTACTAGTAGTAACAAGAAGCTAGTAAGCAAGTCATGCTTGGGCATTTTCAGGATCATTCTTCAGTTGATGGGTGTTAGGCGGTGTTAGGGGATGCTGGCTAGCTGCTACAGTAGCTTTTGGTCACAACAGTGAACTGAACCAATCAAGCAGCTACAACGGGCAGAGCCGACTGGTCGCTGACCCTTGGAATACAGCTGTTCGATTTGCTTTGTTAGCTCTTGTTCCGCAGGTGTCTTCGTTCCGCAGGCTTCGGCCGAGCCGACGGCAGCCGAAGAGGTGAACTGGCTCGAGACATCGCTGTGGGAGTAAAAGGAGAAATCCTTCTCAAACGCTTGTGGCTATATATATATATACCATGCACAAAAAGTTAAAAATCGAAGCTCGCAGTGGGGCTGAAGACTTCTGGTTCGCTTCAGTTCCATTCACTTCACCCCCGTCCCTTCGCTGATGCGGTTCGCCGGTTTGTCCCACAGATTCACTTCACAAAGATTAGTATGATTGGTCGTTGTTTGGGCACGTCGAACCAGACCATGCTCCTCAAAAGCAACCCGGACCATGCAGTTGCGCAAGACAACACTGTGACGCTGAATGTGGAAAGAGATTCCCAGACACTCCATGTCTGTCATATATGCCTACATTGACCCAAACCACCCCAACTGATCGGCATATATGGCACACATGGAGTGTCTGGGATTGGAGCTGGTGGTGGATCGGCATATCGATGGAGCGCTTGGAGCGCTTGGAGCCGGAGTCCGGTGGCTCCATGTGAGACGATGGAGATCGGCGGTGCTTCGGGTGAGACGATGGTGCCGGGGATGGGCGAGGGACTGGCGGCCTATTTATGTATGGTCGGTTGAGCTGTCAAAAGATCGAAGGTGTCCAATCGAATTGTTGGCGCTTTCATGGGTGAAACATGGTGAAACCTTCCACAAGTGAGGTTCTGGAGTGTTTCGACCAGATTCAGTGTGGAGCAAAGGACACATTGTTCCTTTTTTGGTGACACCGATGACATCGACGTTGAATGACTTGGAAGGGAGATTGAGGAGACTTGGAAGGACAAATCTGTTCCACACAACCAGATGCCTGTCCCAAGATTCAGTCCTGATTCAGTCCTGACCTCTCCATAGAATCTGCCCCACCACGCTATTTCAGATACCAGCTCTCGGAAAGGGATCAAGACGTATTCGGACAAACATCGACCAAGCCAAAGGCATCCAAAAACTGGCGGCAAGAACCCTGGAAGCAGCAGAATTCTTCCAGCTCATTGCAGGAATCACTTGGTGAATAGCCATACTGTGGGCCCTTGCCTTACCCTGGCTACCAAAAAATCAATTGCCTTTTTGTCGGAGCCCTTCACCACCCAGTAGTAACAAGAAGCTTGTAGAAACAAGTGCATCCCTACTAGTAACAAGGGCCTTACTAGTAACAAGAAGCTAATAGAAATCCGCGTGATTTCTAACACTCCCTGGAATCATCGCAGTGGATGGCATGGCCATGGCCCCGAAGACTCGGATGACCGAAATCCACATACCAAACCGCTGGTGTTCACTCACTCACTCACTCGCTCCACTTCAACACTTCCATGGATGAGTGTGCCAAGTTGTTGAGCAATTACGATGGCCTCCAACCTACTAGTTTCTTGCTACTAGTAGTAATGCCCTTGTTACTAGTAACGTCCTTGCTCCTAGTAGCGATGCCCTTGTTACTACTAGCGCTGGCCTCCAACCGAATGTGCAAACCCTTCTCACCTTGAGATGATTCACATCCTCCACTGCTCTTCCAGGCAAGCGCCAGGGATGCCCGCTCCAGGCCTTGGGGGTGCAAACGGATGGCCCAAAACGGATCCGGACCCTGCGTTTCGGCGGAAAACGGTTTCGTTTTGTGTCGTTTTTTTCATGTTTTTTTTGGGGGGGGATGACACGGGTCTGCGCACTGTTTTGCGCTACTCTCTCCAATCACCCTAAAAAGGATGACGAGTCATTTTGGTGTTAGAGTCTAAAGGAAAGACAAAAAAACACAAGAAAGAACAAACACCAACCAAATTGATTTTTTTTGCTTTCTCTATTCTTTTGATTTCTTTTGTCTCTCAGTCTGGACACTTTGCATGTAGCATGAAAACCCCAGGCAGGTGTACCAGTCAACGTCAATCAAACGTCAGGAAAATGGCTCGTTGCGGAAGAGTTTTCTTCGACCGCTGAAACGTACCGGTCAGCGAGTACCGTTTTTTCGGTGAAGCCGTTGCAGGTGGTGAAGCCTGCCGTAGTAGTAGTCGTCGTCGTCGTAGTAAAGTAGTAGTAGTAGTCGTCGTCGTCGTCGTCGTAGTCGTAGTCGTAGTCGTAGTAGTAGTAGTAGTAGTAGTAGTAGTAGCAGCAAGTAGTAAAGCCAAGAAAGTTCTTTCCCAACCGCAGGTTGTAATCATCTCCAGCCATCACTGCCAAAAGTAGGGCCCCTTCATGATGCCGTATTAGCCCGAAACAACATTTCTAGGCGATGGGCAAACTGGCAAGCTCTGGTGCAATATTGTATATACTAGTAGGGTGACTTTCTGCAAGCTGTGAGGAAGCAAAAAGCCAGACTTGGCGACGACGCCCTGAAAAAATGGACTAACCTTTCCTGTGGGTGGATTCCGCTTCTTCTTCCCGGGGGATCCGCTCCATCCGCCCGGGCCTCAAGCTGCGAATAGTCTGGAGGAAGCTCGTGTGCTTCGTCCTCCTCGATCAGCGAGGGACCGGGCTTCACGACTCCCCCGTGTGAACCGTGCAACGGTTTTGGGCTTTCACCGTGGCAACGTGGCTTTAAGCACCCGTGGCTTTCGCATGGCTGAACCACGTGTCGTGGCTTTCTGAGTGAAGAAGTGCGGCTCGCACAGAAATAGCATGTTGATTGCAAGCTTCAGTGTAGAAAAAGCGTCGAAGTCTTGAGCTGGGACCTTGATCGCTGTCCTGTGCTTGACGTCCATTTTTCTGAATGGACTAATGGACGTGTTGAAACTCAAAGGAAGTGCCAGCGAACGTTCCATTCACGAAGGGTCCAGCGAATCGGAAGGTGCGAAAGGGTTTCCAAGGGTACCCAAAGCAGTGGTTTCAAACCACGTAGGAAACCATTGGAAACCCAAACAGAAACCATGCAACTTGGTCCGAAGCTCATGTGACGATTCATGACGAATCCATGATTCCTCCACAAACCGACGAACTACCAGTAGCACCGTTCTGCACAAACGAACGAGGCCCAAAACGGAGGTTGCGAGTTGAGGCCTTAGATCTTGGACCACAACTAGGACGGCTTGAGGATTGCGAGTCCTGTTTCTATTGTCGGTTCCTTCTTGGTCAAACAAACGGTTCAAAGGACTTGTTGGAAGGAAAAGGGAGGTGAAGAGGTCATGAAAGGTCCCAATGTCTTTTGTAAAGCCAATGTCTTTTGTAAAGATCCCATTTAAATCTATACCTACTATATAGTAGCGATCGCCTCCAACCAAATAGCGATGGCCTCCTCCTATATCATTCTATCCCTTCAGATCTTTTTCCTTTCATCTTTTTTCACCCCTCGTAGAAAACCCAGAACCTGCTCCTGCGTCCTGCACCGGCTCTCGCGACGGTCGGTGACGCGTCGCTCGCGTCGCTCGCGTCTCCGGGCGATGTCGGGGGATGGTCTTGATGATCTCAGGCAGCTGCATCTGGACCGCAGACGGTGACGACGGTGATCGTCGACGGTCGACGGATCCTCTGCGAGGAACCCAATCCAACCACTGCACTTTCCGGTAGGAAGTTGGGGCTGAGCAGGGAGTTGAAGCAGCAACGTCAATGGCGGTTTGTTCAAGTCTGTTCGGCATCGATGTGAACAACACCTCTGAAGATTGGTTTATAGAATATTGTCACTTGGTACAACAGTGAAAGCTTGTCCTGCAGGATGAGCATCATCAAATGTCATCAATAATGTCCAATCATTGATCTTTGAAGATCTTTGAAGAAGCATGTGTGCATTACGGGAACAATTCCAGTTTCCCTTGATTTCCTTCACCCACTGCTTCGCCGACCAACACGACTTTCCCTTTCCCTGCCAGCGTGGAGGACAGCAAGCGCGGTCGTAGAAGTCTGATCGCAGGCAGAAGATCCACTCTCAACTTGCCTTAGATGTATAGAGCGAAGACGTTTCCCAACAACCTAATAGCGACAGCCTCCAACCTAATTTAATAGGAACTCGATGCGACTCTCAACAGGCAGAAGATGCACTCTCGCCTCCTAACCTGCACGCCTGGAGGCTAAGGCCGCGGTTTACAACCCAAGAAAGAAGACTTTGCTAATCCCAAATGTCAGTGACCTTCTGTTCGGCTTTCAAGGTCTCAAACGACCGTGTTGACACGCAACGTTTGTGCGAAGCAGATGGTTTCCAAGAGCTCGCGTAAACGCACGCGAGTTTGAGGGAATGTTGTAGGCCCCGTGTTGCGAGACGAGGACATTGTACGTGATTAACTGCAAGAAGGCCTTGATCTATTGAAAACATACGTATACAGGAAGCTGCCACTCAAGGACAAGCAAAGAACAGTCAATAAAGTGGATATCACCAGGTTCGATTTGCAAATCTGAACAAATCCACGCCCAGTGGCACTTGGTGACTGCAGTCACCTTATTGCGACGGTGCAATCCGCTGCCAACGTAGCACTTCAGTTTCACGAGACTTGAGAAACCTGTGGAGGCTAAATGAAGCTATCAGTAATGCGTGCATCACTATTAATGTTGCATCCTAATTAGTATAATGGGACGGAATAATAAAAGTGTTCGCCAAATTATTCACACACCCTGATTAGTTTAATGGTACGGATTAAAAAAACTTTTTCACCCAGGGTCTTTTCTGGCTTTGTTTGCTTTTCTATTGTTCTGCTAGTGCTCCCCCTTTAACATCCTTACTTAACTCTCCCGAGGTCTGCTTGATTCATGGAATTCTGACCTGGAAATCGTTTTCAAAAACGTTTATTAAAACTCAACGATTTC